GAATCATATTTACATAATTTCGATACAATCGCTGTAGATCAAAACATATAGCAACAATAGGAAGTACTTGCTTCATATTCCAAGGTTATGTTATTCTCTATGTTTTTGGGAATCCCATTCTTGTTGATGTAGTCTTCAATAATAGCTGTGAAGAGTTGGTTGACCCCTTCTCCTGTTTTGCTGGAAGTAAGAAAGAAGGACCCATTATATTCTTCTATAAAATCCTGTGCATCATGTCGATCAACTAACATTATCTTTGGTAGTTCAGGGATTTTGTCAATCTGGCATCCACAAAGATATATAGAGCATTTAGGTTCCATTTCCCTCATGTCTTTTATGTAGCGCTGGGCTCGATGGTAAGATTCCAGGCAGGTCATGTTAAAGCAAACAATGGCTGCTCCACTGCCTCGATAGTACAGTCTAGTGAGAGACTCATAGCGCTCTGATCCTGCAGTGTCCCAGAAACCAACTGTAGTTGATTCCCCTGATGGAAGTATAACACTCTTTTTTGTGTAAGCTGCTCCTATAGTCGTAGATGACCTAGCATAATCAAAACAATCGTAGAGGTATCGACTAATTAGGCAAGTTTTTCCACATCCTTCAGCGCCTAACATTATAACTTTCAGTTCCTTTTCACATCCCTTATGCATTTTGCAACAGCCAGACCTTAACTAAACTGATAATTTATCCTTAAATATAGAGTTGGTTAATTATATAATACTTAGCATATCTTCACAAAATTATTTTTAAAAATACAGACAGTAAACGCGATCAAAGCGTCTGGTTTAATTTACATTATTTATATTATGGTCAATAGTCAATAAATAAATATGCATATTTTTGCTTCTCTAAATATTTTAATTGATTAAAATATTTATATATATTTATTTATTTATATATATAATTATTTTAGTATATGTAATTGTATATTTTATAATTTCATATATTTTGCTTATCAAATATATTTATTATAAAATTATGGTATAAGGGCTCTCTCCTCCTAAGCTAATATTCATATATTTTAAATATAATTTTAGATGATGCATAAGTAACATTATAATAATAATTTTGTGAGTAATAATTCTATATTTATTTTTAACGAAATATTTTTATTTATTTAATATGGGGCCATCAAAGCTACCAAATATATTCTTGGCCCATGAATACGTAGAAGGAAGGCAGATACCTCAGGCTGGCGGGACGCAGAACCCTGTGGTTCAAGGACGCTTGATGCGACCTCCCAGTTGTTCAGAAGTTTCCTTCTCGGTGAGATCCAAACGTCAGGAGCAGATGAGGTCAGCCATGCCCAACTGGGAATCAGCCAAGAGTAGCCGTTGGCGGCGCCACCAGTGAGAGCTGAACCTCTTCAGGCAGGCGAGTCGAAACTGGTCCGTGATGTCCTTCTGGCCGACGCCACTCTCGGAGACTGGGAGAGCCAGGATGCCTCCTGGAAGGCATGAGACTCCGCTTGTACCCCACAAGAACTGCCACAGCCGCGCCTGCAGCCAGCCGATTGTGGTTTCTGTTATGTACTCTTCTACCTAATATTCAATAATCTTAGATAGTGTAGTTTATCAAATTACGAAACTATTTTAGACGTGTAATATTCTTTTTGAAATAAAACAACCGCTGGGAGGGTTCACCACTGATGATCCAGGCCCTCCCTTTAATTTTTCCATTGCAGTAAAGGCAGTAGAAATTGTTATATTTCAAAAAGAATATTACGCGTCTAAAATAGTTTCGTAATTTGATAACAGATGGCGCGCTAGTGCATCGTAATATAAGTGTAGTTTCTATTAAAAGAGATTGTATGCTACTGTTATATATTTGTATAATATTTTACTATTACAGAATTATCATAAGAACTAAAAACATGAATATCTCGCGCTATATATTCATTACATCACACAACAACAACCAAGTCCTTGGTCAAAACCATATATACATATTACAGTTTCAGGCGGAACATTGCCATGGAGGTGGTGGAGGATGGAACCGAGGACCTGGCTGTTGGACTCATGGGCACGACCCACCAGCGACAGGCCGCGATTGAAAGGAGACCACCTCGTGATGGCTCGTTCCAGCAACCTCATCATGTGGGAGGTTTAGGAGACAATGTGTTCCCTGCAGGCAGTGATCGTTCAGCCTGGGACAGTCAGCGACTCTGATGTCCAGGAGATTCACAGAGGAGAATCAGTCCTGTGTGTTTTGATTCGAAAACAAATTGAACGTTTATCATAATCATGATAAAAGGCTTTGTTTATAATGTGTATGTGTGCAAGAATTGTGAAATAATAAAATAATCATAGTAGCATTAAATTTCGTATCTTTTATTTTTCATTCAAAGATATCTAAATATATAAAGTGCAATTTCTCTCTTATAAAATATATAGGTCTTCAACCTATAATATAAATATATCACTGTGCTTACAGGAACCGCACCAGAGCCTGCAACTCTTGATGAAGTTGACAGCTAACCAGGAGGCCATGCAGAATGCTTCAAAGATCAGGGTCACGAGCTCGATCTCAAACTGAGCGTCGTCCCTAATGAAGAGTATGATGTCATCTGCATAGGCGACCACGCATTTATGGCCCAAGATCCTCTCGAGGCGGGGTAACAGAATCCCAACTCAATTGCTGAAGAGGGCGGCACTGAGTGGCAGACCTGCTTCATCTAGTTGAGAAGTTGGAAGACCTTGGTGAAAACGTCCCTCACCTGGAAAGAGAGGGAGAGAGATAGAGATTGATACTTCTTTATTACATTATTCATATAAGGTTATATAAGGTGAAATATACAGATAAGTAAATGAATATAGATAAATATAAGATTATATATAATGATATATGATCATAATATATATATATATAGGTTTTTAACTTTTAATTAGACATTTTAAATTTATATTTAGACATTTTTCATTTTAATTTAAACACATGGACTTTTTTTTATATAATCTTTATTTAAGACACTTTAAAACACAACTATGCCAGCACTAAATATAATATTAAAATATTATAGTCTCTCTCTCTCTCTCTCTCTCTTATTTCTACTAATTTTAAAATGAATAGAGGCTCGTATCAAGCAATATCAAAATGAAAACAGGAAACTTTAATCAAGTTGGTATGCTTACAAGACAAAACTATGCAAAAGCTTCAAGTTATTCAACATCAATTATAGTTCTGCTATGCAAAATTATAAAAAAGAAGGCTAATTAAAATTAATAAAGGAGGATTTAGACAGAAAAAAAAAATCCATTGAGCGATTTAGATTTTATTTTGAAAAGTATACACAAAATCATTATAGTATAACTTAAAAAAATTAAGAGCTGAATTGAAAAATATTTTAAATCTAGAAGTGTCGCAAACAACAATGATCAATGCAGTAAAAGAGTTTAAAATAACTCTGAAAAAGTCATCTATTGAGTTGACCAACATAAAATCAGATAAAACTAAGCAAAAAAGAAAAGAAGATGCGGAATTGTTTATTAATATTTCACCTTTTTTTTTAAATGATGTCAAACTTCGCTATTCCCATTTCAAGCCCTAGTTGTTTATAATAAAAACTATATTCAATATTTTTCAGCTGTTTAAAAATGCTTTTAAATAAGGAATATATAGAAAAGTCCATGTGTCTAAATTAAAATGAAAAATGTCTATATTTAAAATAAAAAATGTCTAAATAAAATGAAATCGTCTAAATTAAAATAAAAAATGTCTAAATATAAATTTAAAATGTCTAATTAAAAGTTAAAAACCTACATATAAATTGTAAAAAATAAATATTATTATTCTTTTTTTTTTTGGTTTTAAAAAGAGAATTATATTCGTCAAAAATAGCTTAAATTTCTTAGTTAACAATACATTAAATATTATGCGATTTATATATATATTTATATATAAATTAAAATTAGCCTTCTTAGAAATCTCACTGATTTTTTAGAAATCTCACTGATCAATCTGTAAACAAACCCTCGTATTTTGCATTTTAAATCGAAAGATTCTGAAAGTAAAACCGCTTTACTCTCTCTCTCTCTCTTAAAACTTTGCTATTCATAAGTAAAGGTAACTTTAATTTTTGTGTAAATATGGCAGATGAAGTTGGAATTAAGTTAATTGCCACCCTTATATTCATTCTAGCACTTGGAGGTAAGAAAAAGTACACTGGAGAAATACTTCTAATCCTGTATTTAATACTTTTAATAAAAGTCGTATTTTATAAAATAATTTAGAAATTAAGCAAGGATGAACATACTTGTGTGTGATAAATTATATAATACAAATATAATAATACTCAATTTTAATACCCATTTACTCTCTTCATCTTTGAAATAAGTTTCTTGCCAAACGATACTACCCATATTATTTTATATAATTTTTATAACCATACTAAAAGCATATAGAATATTTTATACCACACGTTCAGTATATAACAAAATTTTCCCATATGAAATTATTTTTTGACATTTTTAATTTACTTGCAGTATTTAATTTTTAAAAGTTTTCATATATATATATATCCCACTATCAACAGATTAAAAAATATATATAATGGCAAGTGTTAAAACTATGTTAAAATGTGCCAATGTCATTTAAAAGTATTTTCCAAATATTCTTGGAAAATAATATACAAATTTCCTTTTATTATCTGTAATCTCTATTGTCGTTGTGACGATGTATATGCATATATAAAATATTAGCTAAATCAATGTTCAAAAATAATTCAAATTAATGCATCAAGATTTTTAAACAAATGTAGTGAGTTTTATATAAGCTTATGGAAGATGAGAGTACAATTAAGTTTTTAAATTTTTAATAATTTTAGGCAATTATTATTTTAGAGAGAGAAAATAGAGGTAATTCGGGCTCCTGGAGCACAAATCACCAACTACCCGGGCTGTACAGCTATAGTCTAGAAGTCTAGTCATGATTGCTGCGGTGAACCAAACCAGGTAGTTCCAGGCCGGCAGGGAGTCAGGAAGTAGGGGCATGGCTGTAAAAAATGGAGCACTGGGTACTGATCCCAGTACCTCTCGCATGCTAAGCGAGCGCTCTACCATCTGAGCTACATCCCCGATGATGTATTATTTTATAATACATTAGAACTAACTCTCTGTAAAGGAAAACCCTTTGTTGTAGAGACAAAGTGTCCTTTAGGGAGAGGTGTCCTCTTACAGGAGAGAGTTTCTAAATAGTAAAGATGGTAATTTTGATGAAGGAAACTGTCCTTTGTAGAGAGATGTCCTATAGCAAGATTGTCCTCTCATGGAGATTGTTTACATTTATTTGTTTAGAGAGATTTGATCTTGTTAGTCAGTGAACAAAAATAAATTGTCATCTAGACATTTGTCTCTTCCCTTATTTATTCTACGGGACAATTTCATCTATAACTCATGTTGTGTTCACCAAATGTCTCTTCTTCTTCTTATCTTCACTCAATCATATTTGGGTATTAGCTTACAAGCTTGAGATCATGACTGGGTGAAGTAGAAGGCGTCTGCCTTTGTCATTAAGACTGGGAGCACTACTCAGTGGCAGGCCAACTTAGCTCCAAAAGAAATGGCCGCCTCTGACATGAGAAACAGATGCCATGTGCAGCTGCTCCTAACATGGAGTACAAACCCTGCTCATCCTGTATCCCTGGATTATGAGCCCTTACAGGGTACTATCAGCTGGGCCAGCTGAGCCCAGGTTTTTTTAGTGAGCTTGTTACTGCTCCCCCTCCTTCTTTTTCATCCGGGCTTGGGACCGGCAAAGGCGGAGTTACTAGATCACTTGATATGCCTGAACTACCATAATCCTTCTGGAATCAAGTGTACTGCTGTTTACAACTCTAAAGGGAGAGAATTGAGAGTATGTGTAGTCAGGTGTTCATCAATCCAGGTTCCCCCAATATCAACAATTAATTTTATACTCCATTCTTTTTTTATGCTAATTATTAATCTGATAGAGTTGATATAAGAATTTAATAGGTTTTCCCACTATGTACCAAGTGTCAACCTGCAACAACCCCAAAACATATTATTGACTGTATTGACTCATCCATTGAAAAGCTCTACTCATCCCCAGCAGATACCATCAACAAGATTTACAATCTTGATACCCTAATATGATTGAGTGGAGATAATAAAGAAGAAAAAGAATAATTCAATGCTGTGATATCTAAAAACGGCATTGGAAAAAAAAAAAGATATAATGGCCATCTTGGTGAAAGGTAGAATAATTGGAAACCATTTGTATCTACACCATCTCCTCTGTAACATTATAAATCATTGATAAGGCACAATTTGGATTATAGATTATAAACACAAGGTAATAAGACCAAATCCAAATAAATAAATAGTGTGTGATGTTTTGGTAACAGCATTGTTACCATCTTCAGACAAAAGTATTGAATTAGAAATTTTATCACAGCATGTTTTAAATAGTTACTGTAAACACAAGGTAATAAGACCAAATCCAAATAAATAACAGTAACTATTTAAAACATGCTGTGGTAAAATTTCTCATTCAGTACTTTTGTCTGAAAATGGTAACAATGCTGTTACCGAAACATCACACACTATTTACTTATTTGGTCGTATTACCTTGTGTTTATAAATCATTATAATGAAAGGTATTCTGCATGACCTATATATATATTCACTCCACATTTAAATTTGGAGTTTCCTTTATAAATGATAAATAAGTAAACAAAAAACTTTTTTTTCCAATTAAAATATTAAAAGAAAATAAGATCTAATCCAAATAATTTATTAGTGTGTGACGTATCGGTAACAACATTGTCACCATCATCAGACAAAAGAATAAAATTTTGTTGCCGAAACGTCACACACTAATAAATTATTTGGATTAGGTCTTATTTTCTTTTATTATAATCTATAATCCAAATTGTGCTTTATCACCAATTAAAATATGTGATATATAGAGTATTTAATAAACAAACTAGTGGAACTTCATTTATAACAGCAAGTTGGTTATAAATTCAAAAATCTAAAGTCACAAGGCTATAACAAGCTTAAAATCTTGGTTCAGAAAGATAAACTATTTATAATGGGACCATTTCTTTTTTTTTTTTATAATGTAAACCAGATACAGTAATTAGGATAAAAGGCACAATTTGGATTATAGATTAAAAACACAAGGTAGTAAGACTAAATCCAAATAAATATTTATTTAATCTACCAGACCACTTCTTAGAGCTCTAATACTGTATTGGACGATTCTGTTTATATATGCTACACTGAAGGGTGGAATCTCAGTAAGGACAGTAGAAGTTTGTATTGTATATAAAAGAAACATTTGTTCTTAAATCCTTTCATTTTATGTGTATGGTGCATTTTATTGCTTTGTGTAGATAAAATAATATTTTTTACTGCCATTACTGCAATGATAAAAATATTGAGAAGGGGCCTGGATTATCAACAGCGAGCATTCCCAGGGGTTTAAAATCTTGCTTCCAAGTGATGTTGTGGTGTTCAATGAGGTTTGGCTGTAGATGACCCACCTAGGTGTATCTTGCTTCCAAGTGATGTTGTGGTGTTCAATGAGGTTTGGCTGTAGATGACCCACTTAGGTGTATCTTGCTTCCAAGTGGTGTTGTGGTGTTTCAATGAGGTTTGGCTGTAGATGACCCACTTAGGTGTATCTTGCTTCCAAGTGGTGTTGTGGTGTTTCAATGAGGTTTGGCTGTAGATGACCCACCTAGGTGTATCTTGCTTCCAAGTGATGTTGTGGTGTTCAATGAGGTTTGGCTGTAGATGACCCACCTAGGTGTATCTTGCTTCCAAGTGGTGTTGTGGTGTTTCAATGAGGTTTGGCTGTAGATGACCCACTTAGGTGTATCTTGCTTCCAAGTGATGTTGTGGTGTTCAATGAGGTTTGGCTGTAGATGACCCACTTAGGTGTATCTTGCTTCCAAGTGATGTTGTGGTGTTTCAATGAGGTTTGGCTGTAGATGACCCACTTAGGTGTATCTTGCTTCCAAGTGATGTTGTGGTGTTCAATGAGGTTTGGCTGTAGATGACCCACTTAGGTGTATCTTGCTTCCAAGTGGTGTTGTGGTGTTCAATGAGGTTTGGCTGTAGATGACCCACTTAGGTGTATCTTGCTTCCAAGTGATGTTGTGGTGTTCAATGAGGTTTGGCTGTAGATGACCCACCTAGGTGTATCTTGCTTCCAAGTGATGTTGTGGTGTTTCAATGAGGTTTGGCTGTAGATGACCCACCTAGGTGTATCTTGCTTCCAAGTGATGTTGTGGTGTTCAATGAGTTTTGGCTGTAGATGACCCACCTAGGTGTATCTTGTTTCCAAGTGATGTTGTGGTGTTCAATGAGGTTTGGCTGTAGATGACCCATCTAGGTGTATCTTGTTTCCAAGTGATGTTGTGGTGTTCAATGAGGTTTGGCTGTAGATGACACACCTAGGTGTATCTTGCTTCCAAGTGATGTTGTGGTGTTCAATGAGGTTTGGCTGTAGATGACCCACCTAGGTGTATCTTGTTTCCAAGTGATGTTGTGGTGTTTCAATGAGGTTTGGCTGTAGATGACCCACCTAGGTGTATCTTGTTTCCAAGTGATGTTGTGGTGTTCAATGAGGTTTGGCTGTAGATGACACACCTAGGTGTATCTTGTTTCCAAGTGATGTTGTGGTGTTCAATGAGGTTTGGCTGTAGATGACCCACTTAGGTGTATCTTGCTTCCAAGTGGTGTTGTGGTGTTTCAATGAGGTTTGGCTGTAGATGACCCACCTAGGTGTATCTTGTTTCCAAGTGATGTTGTGGTGTTCAATGAGGTTTGGCTGTAGATGACCCACTTAGGTGTATCTTGCTTCCAAGTGATGTTGTGGTGTTTCAATGAGGTTTGGCTGTAGATGACCCACCTAGGTGTATCTTGCTTCCAAGTGATGTTGTGGTGTTTCAATGAGGTTTGGCTGTAGATGACCCACCTAGGTGTATCTTGCTTCCAAGTGATGTTGTGGTGTTCAATGAGTTTTGGCTGTAGATGACCCACTTAGGTGTATCTTGCTTCCAAGTGATGTTGTGGTGTTCAATGAGGTTTGGCTGTAGATGACCCACTTAGGTGTATCTTGCTTCCAAGTGATGTTGTGGTGTTCAATGAGGTTTGGCTGTAGATGACACACCTAGGTGTATCTTGCTTCCAAGTGATGTTGTGGTGTTCAATGAGGTTTGGCTGTAGATGACCCACTTAGGTGTATCTTGCTTCCAAGTGATGTTGTGGTGTTCAATGAGGTTTGGCTGTAGATGACACACCTAGGTGTATCTTGCTTCCAAGTGATGTTGTGGTGTTCAATGAGGTTTGGCTGTAGATGACCCACCTAGGTGTATCTTGCTTCCAAGTGATGTTGTGGTGTTTCAATGAGGTTTGGCTGTAGATGACCCACCTAGGTGTATCTTGTTTCCAAGTGATGTTGTGGTGTTCAATGAGGTTTGGCTGTAGATGACCCACCTAGGTGTATCTTGTTTCCAAGTGATGTTGTGGTGTTCAATGAGGTTTGGCTGTAGATGACCCACCTAGGTGTATCTTGTTTCCAAGTGATGTTGTGGTGTTCAATGAGGTTTGGCTGTAGATGACCCACTTAGGTGTATCTTGCTTCCAAGTGGTGTTGTGGTGTTTCAATGAGGTTTGGCTGTAGATGACCCACTTAGGTGTATCTTGCTTCCAAGTGGTGTTGTGGTGTTTCAATGAGGTTTGGCTGTAGATGACCCACCTAGGTGTATCTTGTTTCCAAGTGATGTTGTGGTGTTCAATGAGGTTTGGCTGTAGATGACCCACTTAGGTGTATCTTGCTTCCAAGTGATGTTGTGGTGTTTCAATGAGGTTTGGCTGTAGATGACCCACCTAGGTGTATCTTGCTTCCAAGTGATGTTGTGGTGTTCAATGAGGTTTGGCTGTAGATGACCCACCTAGGTGTATCTTGCTTCCAAGTGATGTTGTGGTGTTTCAATGAGGTTTGGCTGTAGATGACCCACCTAGGTGTATCTTGTTTCCAAGTGATGTTGTGGTGTTCAATGAGGTTTGGCTGTAGATGACCCACCTAGGTGTATCTTGTTTCC